TTATTGGGCCGCAATATTCATAAAATATTATTAATGTTGGGCAGCCATAATAAATAAAAATATCATGTTAGGAAATACGGGTTACACAAGCACTGACATTATTTGACTCATTTGCTTTTGTGGGCAAATTTACTACTTTGATATTTACAAAATTCGCCCATTTTCCCTCAATAAATAATGATGGCATCATAAAATTCACTATTGTGCATAAATTCGTTATTGGGCATAGATAGTAGCTACTTGGACTCATATGCTCATACCCCTTTAAGAAACGTGGAGTGGGCGTGTCGTGAAAAATGAAGTAGGTAAGTCGTGTCGTCACTACACGACACGCCTCTGTCCTGCAGGCTGCAGACAGATACACTTGCTGACGTCTGCAGTGATGGCTGACGTCAGTTGCCCTGCCGCTCTGAGGTATATAAGCGGCCCCAGTCTCGTTCACGCCCCCGTAGCGAGTTGGAGAAGAAATAGCAGCGAGTATTTTCACCAATTGTCAGGTTTGTATTATAGATAAGATAATTGTGCAGTGTTAATAGCGTTGTTGTTTCAACATATTAAAAGTAATACAATTATAACGTCAAGATTAGTTTTTTATCCTGTGTTTTTTCTGATCACTGATCACTACACTGTGAAACTGAACACAAAAAAGGGTAAATACAAACCGTCTAAATCCAAGTCCTATTATGAAGTATGAAAACAAATTACCCCCATACTCCACATGTCATGTACCATAATATTTAGCAGAAAGCCTGTTTAGTAGATGTACTATAGACACAGGTCTTGGCGCACAAGCTTCAAGGTAGTTCTGAGATCATAATCTACTCTGATATGAAAAATAATCCACATTGTAGAAATTAGTCTTACTATACCACTATGCAAATAAGTCTTTCCTCCCTTACTATTACTTACTACTAATATTATTACTTATGTTTTCAGCCTAAAGCAACCAGAGAAAAGGCCTGTCAGACTGATCCAATCATCAGCATGCGTGTGTCCTGGCCAATGTTAAGCCTAGCAGGCGGAGCAAAGGTGATTTGTCTTTTATAACATTGTCTGTATAATGCACTTTGAATTGTACAAGAGTTTAATTTTGCTTTGGATTTGATGTCAGAAGCTACTGTAACTATTTCTTAATGCTATTAATAATGTGTTTGTTTTTCTGTGTTCTTTTAAACAGTCTTTCAGGTGCAGGCTCCACATTAGAGCGTCAGTGTTTCATTTGATAAGGGACCTTCATGGAAATCATGATGAATCTGCAAAGTAACAGTGTAATTGACATCCAACTTATCCAGGTAAAACACCACCATGAATACATTTGAACAATTAATTGGGGATCATTTGGCGCATTTTTTAAAATTTATTTCAGAGCAGTGAAGTTGGGAACAGTGTAAGGATGCTGCTGTCACCTTACATTGTGTGCACCATGTGCACTTGTATATTGTATATAGTAATTGTAACTCTATTTTAAATTTAAATGTATTCCATAGAAGTGCTTTTTTAAAATGTATTTATTTTATTATGCCTTCTCTACCTTTACCTCTCTTTCTGACTGTTGCACTGAGCCAAAGCAATTTCCAAGTCTGTGACTTCCTGTTACTTACGTGGCAATAAAAATTATTCTGATTCTGAGGATGGAGAAGGAGGGATGTAGTCTGAACATGCTGAAAGAGAGGGGTGTCAAAGGCAAATGTGACAGACAGACACACAGGAGTGCAGAAGTATATAAGTATATAAGAAAGGATATCACTCACTATTTTTACCCTTGGCACATGGGAAAGGGTATGTATTGAGTGTAAAATTAACATATAATATATCTAATCCATGTATAAAAAAATGTCATAGGAATGGGGAAGAAAATTGATACAGACAATAGGTCTGTGATATGCTAATGAATTAGGGTCGTTAGCCTCAGCAGGGTCGTTAGACCTGCTCCCTTCTACATCAAACAGACCTTAGATTGTTTATGAGTTAGTATCAGGATTAGGGTGTGGCTCACCACACCCATAGGTTATAAATCTCCAACGCGCGGTCTGAGAATTCCTTCCCTGAAGAAGTCCTTTGGATTGAGGACGAAACGTCGGGAAAACCTGCTAAGAAGTACAGATGATGAGAAACCTTCCTTTGCTTTGACTAATCCCTGTACGACTGAGGGCTTACACAAACTGTTGATGCAGAGTCATGGCTCATTTTGTCTGTGTAACCCTAAACACAATATCCATCTCTTTAGCTCTACATCAAATAAAAATATTAGCAATAATGCTAACACCAATGTACCATTCAGTAACGGGACCCATTCTGCGCTGCACTGATGCCTAGCCGCCCGCACCAGTGGCCTCAGGCAACGAGCTAGCCATCGGCTCAAACACGAACGGCTAAGGGCTGGCGGACTCCTCCACATTAACCTCCTCCACTTCCACCTCAAAAGAGCGCTCGGTCGCGACTCTGCTGTCACAAAATTATACAAGAGAGCTGTCAATCACAGCCCAGACCACGCCCAACTCAAAGACCCCTTCTTTGCCAACTCCTCGTAAGTAGAGCGCGCGTGCCAGGTGATTCATTAGCATAGGTAACCGCCCATTAATGCCCATAAATGGGACTGCAGGGCCGCGTGCGGAAACAGCAACATGCCTAAAGCAAAGAGTTACACGGAGAAAAAGAGTCACCGTTTTTTCTTCTTTTGCCAGACTGAGATTAAAGTCATAAATTTTTTACTTTAAAGTCGAAATATTATGAGAATAAAGTCGAACTAGCAAAATTATGAGATTAATCTAAATTATGAGATTAATATGTTAATTAGTACAGCATATATTTATATTAATCTCAGAATAGTATGTATTAATTTAAATATTAATTTAAAAATATTATAAGATGAATCTCAAAATGTTATGAGATGAATCTCAAAATGTTATGAGATGAATCTCAAAATATTTTGGACCCTGGGAGGAGATCCAGCGCGGACCAGCGCTGAGACCAATGCAGACCCGAGCAGAGACATAGACTGGAGAGACCAGCGCGGACCAGTAATAGATCCATGGGAGAGACCATCACCGAGACTCAGCGCGGACCCGGCAACCTCCTGCAGCAGCAGTATATATGCCATTGTTCTGTGGCCCGTGGATGGAGAAATTTACCCAAGGATGGGGTCACTAATAGACGGCATGATTTCAGATGTATTTCATAAAGCATTGGCACATTTAATGAATTTAAAAAATAGGCTAAATTACCACAAAAAATGAAATGAATAAATACATACATCAATATGACAGACATATCACTCTAATGTTGTATTTTATTGAACTTCACAAAAGAAGACAACACCAGCGTGCAAACATGTCGGCACTGAATGTGCTTAAAGTGCTCCTGAGCACTCGTAGGATTTGTCCTTACCCAAGAGCAATTCTGGATACGAGAAATGTATGATGCCACAATCTTCGCCCATTGTTGGTTGGTAATCTCCACACTTGTGGGAAGGGATTCAAATAAATATACACACAACAACTTAAGTACAAGCACAAAACAGAATGGCAACACGTGAATACTGCAGATAATACGAGATAAAGCACAGTAGCACAGGAATGTCGTTAACTTAGCTTGCTATCAATAGCTAAATGTTGCTAACCCACTGTGTACAACAATCAAACATTTACGAGTATATACATTTCAGTGAGAGCTTTGGGCCAACGGGATACGTAGCTAACCAGTTATTTCCAGGATTACCACATACTAGTCAACCATCCAGAGTGATCTCCATGAAACCTCCGTGTTGTGCGTTCGAGCTGGCTTTGAATTCTTTATTTTCGGCCTAAAGAGAGTCACGTGTGAATCTCGTCCACCGACCTGGACGTTGACTTTCGGGGCTTTCTGTGCGATTCTATTTCTCTGGAGGGAGGAGGACGTAATGTAGCCGAAGCAGAGCAGCCAGTTTTAAAGATGGCGGCTTGAGTTGTTTTTACCAAAGGGTCAGACGTTGTTTCCAGTGACAACACTCGTTGACCAATCAGTGTTAGGCAGTCGGCTGACGTCACGTCATGGTGTAGGTTTGGGGCGGTTGCAACCACAGTCAAGGTGGTACGAAAAAGGTACCCAAACCCCGACCCCAACCCTAGTAGAAATGCAAAATAACCGCGTCGTGCCAAGCCGCATACTACAGTACTTCACCATTTGAATGGACAATTAGCCGCCAAGCTAATCACCACAGCATGTTGCAAACATCACGTCACAGCAGGTCACAGTCATACACTGTAAGGAGAATATCCAGTTTATGAGTTGCAACAGCCAAAACAATGCCTATGGATCTTTTAGCAATAGTTTTACTTATTTAACCAAGTAATCGTTTTTGGGTCATGCGCAGTGAAAAGTTGCCATTTTCAACCTGGGCAACAATAGATCAACACATGCTTTCTGAATGCCTATTGAGCTCTTTTGACGTCTACCACAGCAGTAGATATAGCACTATCATCAGTTTGATTTCATAATTCAGCAAATTTACCAAAAATTAAAAGCGTTTTCATGCTCAGATGATGGAAAACATACTGCATGTTTTCCATAAAAATGTTTCTGCGCTGATCAAGACATGTTGCTTTTGGAGTGATGTGCAGTTGTTACATACCAAGTGCTAAGTTATGAAACTTCAACAGTCGATCCAGAAACAAAAATACCCTAAACAAGAACAAAAAATGCTGAGTGTGACACAAACGGTTACAGAGAGTTTACTTTTCCGTTTAAGTGAATGGAGCCAAGGAGCAAAACTTCACATTGAAGCTTCATAGAGCTAGCACATTGTCCATTTGTATATACAGTCCATGGTTGCATGTCAAATCCCATTACATTTTCCATCTGGGAATTCGTGAGGCAGAAGGCAGGTGTCGAAGAGAAGAAGTGAAGGAGAGTCTCTGGGATGGGCCAAATTTGGTAGATGGACACAAAATAGTGGAGAGGACAAAGAGCCCTGGACACGTCAAGGGACATGAACTTCATGGATTTCACAATAATCCATGGGGTCACTGCGGTAGAGCCTTCAGGATGGTGTTGACCTCCTCCGCCACCGTGGTTAGAGCAAACTCAAACTGGTCCTAGATAGAGACAGGGTTAAAGTTGTTGGGGGGGATAGAAGAAGCTGATGCCTCAATCTGAGACTCACCTTGGTCTGGACCATGCCTGGTCTCTGGTCTCTCAGATGCTCCAGTGTTGCAGCTATGTCAATCTCCTTCGCTCCTGTCACACAAACCGACCACGCATGATTACAACATGCGCCAAGCAGCACAAATTGTACAGTGATCACACCGCTGGAACGGCTCTTGTGGTGCGTGTCATGTGACCAGTGATGTGCGGTGAGGTTGGTGATTGGTGAGGCATATACAGTAATATACATAAGCAGGACCAAATTGTTTGGCAACAGCAGAATATGTTTCATGTCTGCATTGTTTTCTCATACAAAGCGCAAAAGTTTAAGCTTTACAGCTGTGTTTTGGACCAGGCTCTAAAGCTGCGTTTGACTCATGGAAATAGGGTTTCTTAGTGTGTTTCCACATACAGTGCCTTGCGAAAGTATTCAGCCCCCTTGAACCTTTCAACATTTCGCCACATTTCAGGCTTCAAACATAAAGATATAAAATTTAAATTTGTTGTCATGAATCAACAACAAGCGGGACACAATCGTGAAGTGGAACAAAATTTATTGGATAATTAAAACTTTTTTTTGGGGCGACAGTAGCTCAGTTGGTAGAGCATTGGCCTTAAGCCCAGAAGGTCGTGGGTTCAATTCCCACCTCTGCACCTTCTCCATCGACTCCCACTGATGACTGCTGTCGTTGTGTCCTTGGGCAAGACACTTAACCCCACTTTGCCCAAAGCCCCCACTGAAAGATCAAGGCTATGCTCACACTCAGAGAGCAGCCGTCCTCCTGTGGACTCACCACCTGCAGAGGGTCAGTGAGGGGCTGGTGCTATGAGACTTGGGTGGCATCTCTGATTGCCACCCCCCTGACCCAGAAATGGACTAAAGGGTAGAAAATGGATGGATGGATGGATGGAATTAAAACTTTTTCAACAAATAAAAAACTGAAAAGTGGGGCGTGCAATATTATTCGGCCCCTTTACTTTCAGTGCAGCAAACTCACTCCAGAAGTTCAGTGAGGAAATGACTGATGATGATAAATAAAATGCACCTGTGTGTAATCAAGTCTCCGTATAAATGCACCTGCTCTTTGATAGTCTCAGGGTTCTGTTTAAAGCGCAGAGAGAACCATGAAGACAAAGGAACACACCAGGCAGGTCCGAGATACTGTTGTGGAAAAGTTTAAAGCCGGATTTGGATACAAAAAGATTTCCCAAGCTTTAAACATCTCAAGGAGCACTGTGCAAGCAATTATATTGAAATGGAAGGAGTATCAGAGCGCTGCAAATCTACCAAGACCCGGCCGTCCCTCCAAACTTTCATTTCAAACAAGGAGAAGACTGATCAGAGATGCCGCCAAGAGGCCCATGATCACTCTGGATGAACTGCAGATAACTACAGCTGAGGTGGGAGAGTCTGTCCATAGGACAACAATCAGTCGTGCACTGCACAAATCTGGCCTTTATGGAAGAGTGGCAAGAAGAAAGCCATTTCTCAAAGATATCCATAAAAAGTCTCGTTTAAAGTTTGCCACAAGCCACCTGGGAGACACACCAAACATGTGGAAGAAGGTGCTCTGGTCAGATGAAACCAAAATCGAACAATTTGGCCACAATACAAAACGATATCTTTGGCGTAAAAACAACACAGCTCATCACCCTGAACACACCATCCCCACTGTCAAACATGGTGGTGGCAGCATCATGGTTTGGGCCTGCTTTTCTTCAGCAGGGACAGGGAAGATGGCTAAAATTGATGGGAAGATGGATGGAGCCAAATACAGGACCATTCTGGAAGAAAACCTGTTGGAGTCTGCAAAAGACCAGTGACTGGGACGGAGATTTATCTCCAACAGGATAAGGATCCAACACATAAAGCCAAATCCACAATGGAATGGTTCACAAATAGACGTATCCAGGTGTTAGAATGGCCAAGTCAAAGTCCAGACCTGAATCCAATTGAGAATCTGTGGAAAGAGCTGAAGACTGCTGTTCACAAACGCTCTCCATCCAACCTCACTGAGCTCGAGCTGTTTTGCAAGGAAGAATGGGCAAGAATTCCAGTCTCTCAATGTGCAAAACTGATAGAGACATACCCCAAGCGACTTGCAGCTGTAATTGCAGCAAAAGGTGGCGCTACAAAGTATTAGCGCAAGGGGGCTGAATAATATTGCACGCCCCACTTTTCAGTTTTTTATTTGTTAAAAAAGTTTAAATTATCCAATAAATTTTGTTCCACTTCACGATTGTGTCCCACTTGCTTTTGATTCTTGACAAAAAAAATAATTTTTATATCTTTATGTTTGAAGCCTGAAATGTGGCGAATACCTTCGCAAGGCACTTTACTTATAGCTGTGCTTGGACAGACACTGGTTCTGACCAAAAAACAAAAACAACAAACTATCCTAATGTTGACATGGTATTTCCACACAGTCATAAATACAGTGATGTGGCATAATGGACAGAACTTCAATTAATACAGAGGGACTGAAGACAGAATTGGGGCTTGTCTGTTTTATCACATCACTTTTGATCATCAGGTTTACAGAACCTGATTGAAGAACAGACTTACCTTTGGACATCTTGTTGAGGACCATGTCAATGAGGATGTAGGTGCCCGTTCTGCCCGCACCCTCACTGCAACAAGAGCCAAGGCTTGACACACAATCTCATCATCAAATTGACCTCGTCATAAATCTGACACACGGCCAAATAATCAAAACGCACACACATAACACACACTATAGACTATATTATTATTTTTGTGCATGCATTTGTCTGGTAATTTCTTCAGAGTGTCGTTCTGTGTAGTCCAGCGAGCACTGTGACAATAACTGGACTTTGCTGCTGGCTCCTGGTGCGGGCTCAGTGATAGTTTTAAGCGATAGTCCACTTTTGTGTGGCTTTTTTGGGGTGTACTGCTGGTCTACTTCTCTGACCCTCCACATGGTCTCTGTCAGCTCTAGAGAAACATTTACAGCTCAAACTGGCTCCAAATGATGCCTGTCCCTGACTATATTCCTCCATGCCTGCTTCGCCTCTGACTCTCCTGCACACAGTGCTCAGACATAGATCATTGACCAAGACACCCACCGAGCTCTGCTGCCACCTGCTGGCTCAATAAAACACTGTCTACAGCCAAACCCCAGACATATATGAAACAAGGGACACAGACGAAGAGGAAAGAGTGAAAAGCAAAGTATTTTGAATACCAACAGTTTGGACACACCTTCTCATTCAAAGAGTTGTTTATTTTCATGATTATGAAAACTGTAGATTCACACTGAAGGCTTCAAAACTATGAATTAAGTCATGTGGAATTATATACGTACTTAAAAAAAAAGTATGTAACAACTGAAAATATGTCTTATATTTTAGGTTCTTCAAAGTCGCCACCTTTTGCTCTGATTACTGCTTTGCACACTCTTGGCATTCTCTTGATGAGCTTCAAGAGGTTGTGACCTGAAATGGTCTTCCAACAGTCTTGAAGCAGTTCCCAGAGATGCTTAGCACTTGTTGGCCTTTTCGCCTTCACTCTGTGGTCCAGCTCACCCCAAAACCATCTCAATTGGGTTTAGGTCTGGTGACTGTGGAGGCCAGGTCATCTGGCCCAGCACCCCACCACTCTCCTTATTGGTCAAATAGCCCTTACACAGCCTGGATGTGACTCTACAATGTCAATAGGAGGATCTTGGAGTGACCGCGCCGGTCACGTGACCAGGTGGCAGTACAGCATAGAAAGCTACCTGGATGCTTCGTTAAAGAACAGCAAAAAACGGCCGCGGTAAAGTGGTTGCCCTTTTATGCTGTTACCTACGGTAAACGTAGAACGGGAAGCCGGGGGGGGGGATGGGGGATAAAAAAATCATAAACAAATTTAAGTTTTGCTACTACTTTCACTGCACACTTGTTCACTCATTCATGAATGATGATTAATTTTAAACATTGCATTTTGGTTGCTCATCCCCACGGCTTCCTGTTCCGCCTTTACCGTAAGAAACAGCAAAAAGGTGCAAACCACTTTTAATGTGTGGCAAAATGCCGGGGCACTTTACCGCGGTGAAAAAAAACCAAGAAATGGATTTTCACCACGGACCCTTCTTGAGTGAAGGGTCCCGGGTTTTCTATGAAGTAGGAATAAATGTCAACGAGTCCCAGTCCCAGCAGATCGGTGCCAAGACAGGTGAGTCTGACCAATGTTTTTTTCTCGTCATCCCAGGTCTCATATGGGCTTTGAATTTGTTCAGTTCGGTCTCATATACTTATCTTTAGCTTGTCTTTATATCTCCTCGGATCTTCTTGTGTTAAAGTGCTTGTATTCAGTGCTATTCACCCACTGAGTCTTTTAAAAGTACTCGTCGCATCCATGCTTCAGTGTGTGCCGTTCTGTCTTTGTGCCACCCAGCGAGGAGCGCATGCGCACGTGGGTTTAAACAAAGATCCTCCTATAGTCATGAAAAGAAAGGAAACTCATTGAACAAGAAAGTGTGTCGAAACCTTTGATCTGTACCGTATTTTTACGTTTATGGCAGTCAATGAGTTAAGTAACTGGTTACTTTTCAAAGGAAATAACGAGAAATATGCTTCTGGGGTAGTAACTAAAACAGTTTGGACACTTCTCGCAAGTAATGACAACACTCTGATTTGTATCTCATTAAGTCTCTGGTACTTTTTTATGGTGTCTGCTGGAGCAGCAGAATCACAGAGAGGGACAGGAAGAATTTGGACAAGGTCATCAGGAAGTCCAGCTCTTTCCTGGGCTCTTCCCTGGACACAGTGCAGCAGGTGGGGGACAGGAGGGTCCTGGACAAACAAACATCTATGCTGGACCATGACTATCACCCTCTGCATGACACTCTGTCTGCTCTGGAGAGCAGCTTCAGTGAGAGACTTATTCATCCTCTATGTGTGAAGGAGTGTTTCCTCAGGTCTTTCGTTCCTGCTGCTGTCAAACTGTACAACAAACACTGAGAACTAATAAACACTGCCAACTTGATCCCACGTGTCATGCATCGTTGCAATATCCTTAAGTTATATCAGAATGTGCAATAACCCCCTTTACTAAGTCACGGTGTCCCAGAGCCTCATGCTGCTAATGTACAGCTGTAAACATACTGCTTTTGAATGCGCTGGAAAACGGTAGCTCTGAAACAGTTGTTGTTTAGTGCTTTATAATTAGGCCGAGCCAATACGAAGTATTGGGGAGGCCTATTGTTATTCACCGGTTTCATATTATTATTAGGCCGAGCCAATACGAAGTATTGGGGAGGCCTATTGTTATTCACCGGTTTCATATTATTAGGCCGAGCCAATACTTTGTATTGGGGAGGCCTATTGTTATTCACCGGTTTCATATTATTATTAGGCCGAGCCAATACTTTGTATTGGGGAGGCCTATTGTTATTCACCGGTTTCATATTATTATTATTATTTCTTATTTTTTTTCCGCAACTTCAATTCGATTTTTGACCCTGAAGACATGCACGAAAGTCTGCACATGGGGGGTCTAAAACGACCGGTTCGGCGAAAAATTTGATAAAATGAACGTTTCCAGATTGTCCGACGCTCGCCGACTCTATAACGCCCCCTAGAAATTTCATTTTTTTTGACCCTCTGGGGATTTTTTTTCAAATTTTGGAGTAGGTACACGAAATTCGGATGAGTGATAGATCTCTATGAGACGAGCATAAAAGCCGTTCTAAGCACATGTCTGGGACCAACAGGAAGTCGGCCATGATGGGCGGAAGTTTCGCCACTAATTTGACTTTTCATTTATAGAAATTCGAACTAGTCCCTGGTTTTTCATTCCACAGAGTTCTACCACGTCATTTCCTAATCTGGACGGATTTAAGTTATATAATCATCAAAAAAAAGTTAGAAAATCTTCACCGTTTTCGTCCCTCGCCATGGCGAATAAGGCCTTCGTTTCGGCCATTTTCGCTGAGCCTGAGGGCCACAGGCTCAGACCTACAGAGCTGAGACTCACATCAGTAATATTAGGTTATGGCCTGAACGCAATGACACTAAAATCATTCGCCCAATTTGAGCTCTTTAGCGCCACCTGTCGGAAAGTAATAGGGCACTAGTGCTCGGATCGGCCCGAAAATCGCTGAGTGTATTCTCTGGACCGAGACGAGCAAAACATTACATTACGCAAAAGTTGTACGTCCCACACCTGACCACTGGGGGCGCCGGAAAGTGAATAAATGAGCTTTTTAGGGCAAAATGTTTCTCCGATGAGGCTAAAAATGAATTCAGAAATACAGCGTATGACCCTGAACACAACGATATGCAATACACAACTGTGAGTGCAACAGCGCCACCTACAGGCAGTTCAATGTGTCGCATTTTTGGCTTCGTACTAGTCCCTGGATTTTCATTGCACAGACTTCTACCATGTCATTTCTCCATCTGGACGGATTGAAGTCATGCAATCATCGCAAAAAAGTTAGAATTTTGTTATCGTTTTCATGCGAGGTAGTGGGGAATTTCTCCATGTTTGATGCTCTCCTGACCACAGGCTCAGACCTACAGAGCTGAAAACTCACATCACTAAACAGTTGGTAATGGCTTGAGAGTAATGGTGGTGAAAACACACACCTTAATATGACTCTACAGCGCCATCTATGGAAGGCTTCTGACCTAAACTTTTCCGATCTTCACCAAAGTTGCAAAATCAAATCTTTTACATCTGTACGAGCAAAATACTACTCTACGTTAGAGGGTGCATGTCCCGGAGGTGACCACTAGGGGCGCACTTTATCATATAAATGAGCTTTTATATACGTAATGCTGGTCAGATCGGGCTGCCAATTTGTCGGCGTGACGCATGTGGGACTGGCGCCCGGGAGGCGGTCGCAAGAGGGGCGAGGCCTTTCATCGCCGCTTGCGGCTTTAATTATTCTTATTTTTTTTCCGCATCTTCAATTCGATTTTTGACCCTGAAGACATGCACGAAAGTCTGCACATGGGGGGTCTAAAACGACTGGTTGGGCGAAAAAATTTTGTTAAAATGAACGTTTTCAGATTGTCCGACGCTCGCCGACTCTATAACGCCCCCTAGAAAATTTCATTTTTTTTGACCCTCTGGGGATTTTTTTCAAATTTTGGAGTAGGTACACAAAATTCGGATGAGTGATAGATCTCTATGAGACGAGCATAAAAGCCGTTCTAAGCACATGTCTGGGACCAACAGGAAGTCGGCCATGATGGGCCGAAGTTTCGCCACTAATTTGACTTTTCATTTAGAAATTCGAACTAGTCCCTGGTTTTTCATCACACAGAGTTCTACCACGTCATTTCCCAATCTGGACGGATTGAAGTTATATAATCATCAACAAAAAGTTAGAAAATCTTCACCGTTTTTGTCCCTCGCCATGGCGAATAAGGCCTTCGTTTTGGCCATTTTCGCTGAGCCCTGAGGGCCACAGGCTCAGACCTACAGAGCTGAGACTCACATCAGTAATATTAGGTTATGGCCTGAACGCAATGACACTAAAATCATTCGCCCAATTTGAGCTCTTTAGCGCCACCTGTCGGAAAGTAATAGGGCACTAGTGCTCGGATCGGCCCGAAAATTGCTGAGTGTATTCTCTGGACCGAGACGAGCAAAACATTACATTACGCAAAAGTTGTACGTCCCACACCTGACCACTGGGGGCGCCGTAAAGTGAATAAATGAGCTTTTTGGGGCAAAATCTTTGTCCGATGAGGCTAAAAATGAATTCAGAAATACAGCGTATGACCCTGAACACAACGATATGCAACACACAACTGTGAGTGCAACAGCGCCACCTACAGGCAGTTCAATGTGTCTCATTTTTGGCTTCGTACTAGTCCCTGGATTTTCATCGCACAGACTTCTACCATGTCATTTCTCCATCTGGACGGATTGAAGTTATGCAATCATCGCATAAAAGTTAGAATTTTGTTATCGTTTTTCATGCGAGGTAGCGGGGAATTTCTCCATGTTTGATGCTCTCCTGACCACAGGCTCAGACCTACAGAGCTGAAACTCACATCGCTAACAGTTGGTAATGGCCTGAGAGTAATGGGGTGAAAACACACACCTAATATGACTCTAGAGCGCCACCTATGGAAGGCTTCTGACCTAAACTTTTCCGATCTTCACCAAAGTTGCAAAATCAAATCTTTACATCTGCACGAGCAAAATACTACTCTACGTAGAGGGTGCATGTCCCGGAGGTGACCACTAGGGACGCACTTTATCATATAAATGAGCTTTTATATACGTAATCCTGGTCAGATCGGGCTGCCAATTCGTCGGCGTGACGCTTGTGGGACCGGCGCCCAGGAGGCTGGGTCGCAAGAGGGGCGAGGCCTTTCATCGCCGCTTGCGGCTTTAATTTTTATTTTTATTGCCTTTTTTACCTATGTTGCTGCAGTACAGTCTCATGGTTTTGCACTTTCGAACCAAGTGATAATTAAAATCCAACCTGAGATGTTGCTGCAGTACAGTCTTCATGGTTTTGCACTGGTCCAGACCAGAGCACAGTGGATTCATGGTTCGAACCAAGTGGATCAAATTAAAATCCACTGGAGGAATGCTAACTTTTTGAAAAATGCTTTAGCATTTTACTTTGGACAAGAGCAGAGAAAATGGTCCAAACCAAGCGGCTACTCCACCTTGTGACCTGTCTTGCTCTACCCAGCGGCTACTCCACCTCTTCTGCTGTCACCTGTCCTGCTCCACCCAGTAGCTACTCCACATCTGCTGCTGTGACCAGTCCTGCTCCATCCAGCGGCTACTCCATCTCTGCTGCTATGACATGTCCTGCCCCACCCAGTGGCTTCTCCACCTCTGCTGCTGTGGCCCGTCCTGCTCCAGCCAGTGGCTACTCCACCTCTGCTGCTGTGGCCCGTCCTGCTCCACCCAGAGACCACTCCATCTTTGCTGCTGTGACCTGAAGGCCTGTGGCTGATTTATACTATTATTAGCTTTTTAGAATGATCAATTTTATTTTTGCTGCTACTGGACACGACTGATGCTTGGACGTCCCGCGGAACCTATTATAGATCCATGACCGCAACGGAAAGCTATGTTACGATAGCCGCTCACTTCATCACCACAGGCTGGGAGATGAAGAGTCTGGTGCTGCAGACACGCCCCCTCTACGACAGGCACACAGCGCAGGTACTGACAAGCAGCGGAGGAATGGAAGACAAAGGCCCAGTACTAATATCCCAGTCACAATTGATAATGCCAAAAATTAAATAAATGCAGTGAATGAGGCTGGACTGGGTCCAGAATGGAGCACCTCCTTGGGAGAATCAGGAAGGTGGTTTAATATATGAGGGTAAATGGGGCCACTCCTGGAGACTTTCTATGACTCTGTGGTGGCACCAGCCATCTTGTACGGTGTGGTCTGCTGGAACAGTAGCATCACAGAGAGGGACAGGAAGAAGCTGGACAAGGTCATCAGGAAGTCCAGCTCTGTCCTGGGCTGTTCCCTGGACACAGTGCAGCAGGTGGGGGACAGGAGGGTCCTGGACAAACTAACATCTATGCTGGACCCTGATTGTCACCCCCTGCACTCTCTCTGCTCTGGAGAGCAGTTTCAGCGACAGACTAATTCACTCTCGCTGTGTGAAGGAGAGATTCGGCAGGTCTTTCCTTCCTGCTGCTGTCAGACTGTACAATAAGAACTGCTGAGCCTGTACATTTCATTCATCTGTAGATAAGTAAATTCGTAAATCATGTGCAATGTGCAATACTGTAACTTCAGAATGTCACAGAACAATGTCACTTTACCTTATGTCACTTTACCTTATCTACTTATTATCCTGCACTATTTAACTGTACAGTATATAACTGCACTACTACTACATACAGTACAGTATATATTTTGACTGGTATTGAAGCATTTTCAGCATCTACAGCTAGTTATGTTAGCTAAGAAACATAGCTACGACTTATTTGTATATATCGTGTGTGCTCCCTGTGTGCTCTTACTACTGTCCTATATGTGCTCTGCAACATCTGAATTTCCCCACTGTGGGACGAATAAAGGAATTCTTATCTTATCTTATCTTAAATACCCTCATAAAGTGCCTTCTTATGTTGCACTTTGTGTTGTTTTTCATGAATTATGTTAAAAAGACATAATTGGATGGATGGATGGAATATGCCTTCCATCCATCCATCGCCTTCCCCTAAATCCATTTCTAGGTCAGGGGAGTGGCAGTCAGAGCTGCACCCAGTACACAGAGCACCAGCCCCTAACTGATCCTTCTGCAGGTGTCGAGTCCACATGAGCCGTTATTAATTTTTTTTGTTAAAATGAACCAAAAAATGAACCGAACCGTGGCCTCTGAACCGAGGTACGATCCGAACCGTGATTTTTTCAAACCGTTGCACCCCTACTATCTATCTATCTATCTATCAATCTACCTATTTATCTATCTATCTAATGTACAGATGCTAACATATAACCACAAATGGCTTGCACACAGTACTTTATACTTGCCTCTTTTTTTGCCAAATGTAAAACTTTTAAACTTCTATTCATTATTATTATTTTCAAGATTGATATTTTACACTTGTTATTTATGCTAGAGTAAGAGATTTTGTTTTATTTTAATTAGTATAGCTATTGTTCACTTATCTTGTGCTGTGTGCTCTTCTTTCCTACTGTTCTACTTGTGATGTAAAACTGAAATTTCCCCACTGTGGGACGAATAAAGGATCTCTTAATCTTAATCTATTTATAAACTTTTGAAAATATTGCCTCATATTTGTCTTGTAGTGATGTTAGTATTAGATAGCAATATGGCCTACGTGCAGGACTGTACAAGGACTCTGATTATTTTGACTATGATGTGACTGTCTCTGTGTGACACGTATGTCTTTCGATGTGTAACGTGACAATGACTATATAAACTGTGTACTGACTCCATTTTGTCTGAGAGAAAGAAACAATGGAAACCACTGGAACTTGAGAGAAACTTAAATAAACTTCCAGAGTTTGGCGCACCACAATTTGTCTCTGTCTGGTTCATCCCTGACAGAGATCAGCACGGTTTGCACAGCTCAAAACAAGATTTTGTTTCATCTTCACACCTGGATTGGAAGCAGTTTTTAAAGTATTCTAAAACGTGTGAATGTTGTGTGTGACTGACCTGCAATGGACGATGACGGGACAGGAGCGGCCACGGTAACACTTGTTCACTTTTCTGAAACACAAAAACGCAAGTGTGAAAGAAGGGATAGATTGAGAAACAGGAACTTTTGTTTTAAAAGGAGATAAGATCTTTACTGCTCTGACTGGGATGTGAGCAAGAGGACAGCTTTTGCACTGAGCTTTCTGCAGTGGCGGACCCTCAAGGCCTGCAAGGCCTTCACTGCTGGCGTAAAGATGATTACATATGCATATATTTCTATAATATATACAATATATAATTTTTCTTATTTTTTTCTATGTTTATTTTTCCACAAACTATGTTGGTTGCGCAGCTTCCAACTTCAGGTCGACATTTGGGAGGTCTGGCGTCTAAACGAGTTTTTATCCAATCATTACTCAGCATCATGTGTTGCTAAGGCCCAAAATCTGCCTCTAGGCCTTCAGACTCTACATTGCTGGCCCACGGTAGCTTAAAGTCAATGAAAACAAACCTGTGGGATTAACCAATCAGTGTCCTCAGGGCAAGTTAGCAGGCCCTGAGGAAGCGTGTCTTCTGATTGGATACATGAGACGTCAAATATAGTCTATGGGGCAGACACGTCAATGTGATAAACAGAAAGAAACAGAAATGCTAATATGTGTAGCACGACAACTTGTTTTAATTTTTCAACCCTCTATGGCTGAAGGAGGTGAATATATTGTTCTGGTAACTAAATAGCTAGAACGCCTTTCTCAAGAAAAACAGAAAGAGGGACCAGGAGAGCCAGGATTTTGCCCAACCTACGGAGCTAGGCTAATGCAGAATACACAGAGCCGTGTCCTGCCCATGTATCTATTATAATAACGATCCTGCCTCACCACCGGTAAGAAACCAGAACAAACTCACGCGCAATACTTATATTGTAGTTGGACTTTTTCACATTAAATTAATGCTCTAAACTGGGTCATGTTCTCAAATACTGTCTGAGAGGAAAGTTTTGCATTGTGCACGAGTGTGTCATGCAGGTGTCTACAAAGTGCAGCAATGTGCCTCCTGTCATTTTAACACAGGAGGCACACTGCTGTTGTCTGTGGCACTAATAAAGTTGGAGATCGCTGAGTTAGGACATCACTGCAGTCGCAGGTCTGAAATGCACGGACCGCATTTCAGAAAGCCAGTGGGTTTTCTGAAAGGGACAGGGGCCGTTGGCTGACACACGTGAAGCGCAGATGAACGCTGCCCTTTATAACGTTGCCCTTGTAAAATTATGATAAAAAGTGTATTGCTCCACGTGGGTGAGAAACTTGCAGTAGTCCATTATAATGTGATAGTCTCAGGTCCTGGGTACAGTCGTGCAATGGGGAAAAAGGCTATAGTCTTTGGGGTTGAAAACAGATATTTAGACAGAAGGTCTGGAGCGGAATATGTGTGGTTATGTGTGTCCGTGTATCGCTTCTTCATTTCGCATCTTAAACGTTTTACTCTTATGTCTGTGTAGCGCTGTGACACTGGGAGTCAGGTGGGTGAGATGTCACCATGGCAACAGCAGAATACATCAGTGATGGAGACAGAAGGGGAAGAGAGAATCTTCTCTTGCATCATCCCAGACCACTACACATCTGCCATTTGTTGTCCACATGCCGTTTTACACGCCATTTGTTTTGTACATGCCACTGATCAGCTGTGGGAGGTGCCACAAAAGGAGCCTGCCCTTTCTCTACATAGTACTGGACTAGCCCTGGTCTCGTCCTGGTCTCGTCCTGGGCTAGTTCTGGGCTGGTCCTGGTTGAGTCCCGGTCTAGTCCTAGTCTAGACAACTGATTAAAAGGGCACTCTTCTCAGCTTTGCCCATGTTCCAGTAGTTTTCCTTTGTCATTCACACACAATTGTTTTTTAGCAGGGGTGGACCTACCATTAGGATTAAACAAGGGGTCCGTACAAACATGTACGGACAACAAAAAGCTCCTTCCTTGTCCTTATTGCTCCTAATGATTGACCTTCTGTTGAGGTGTTGAGTTAGTAGGACATTGGAACAGTGAAGAGAGCACCTCCAAGTAATGCAAAATTACTGTACTTTGAAATTTCCTACTCAAGTGGAACTAGCAGGGGTGGTAACAAAACAAAAAAAATGGACTGTGCCCTCCTAACAATGACTACAAACATAGAGCAAAGAGTATACACAACAAACTTATATCAGCTGTGACTAGGGATGTACCGAATCCAGATTTTTGGGGTTCGGCCGAATACAGAATCCACTGGTTAAGATTCTGCCGAAACCGAATACCGAATCCTACTCCATCCTCAGTCCATTAAAGTTTTATACGCAAATGTTTTAACAGCGGCAATGTTGCGTACTGTTTAGAGTCCTTACCACCACGAGACAAATCGGCATTGCAAATTGAACATGTAGCTCGACTAGAATCACCTTCTTTGAACTGAAAGTACTGCTAAACAACACTTTTTCTGCTCACCAGTTCCACTTTCACTTTCTCACTCACACTGCCTAAGCTACTGTATTCAAGAAAAATACTTTTAGTAGTCGCGCAGCTAGGACCCAGATGCATTCAAAGGCACAAGGAAATGAGGCTAACATAGACAGTTTAATTCTTGATTAGATTCATTGTCCTTTACTTGTTTAATCATCATACACCTGTTATATGTATCCCTGTGTTGTTACTCTGAAATAATTATTCGAAATAAAATGGTAAACTGTCGGCTACTAAAATAATTTTTTTCTCTGAGCTTTTTTCTGCCATTTCTCGTAATAAACCTTGATACATATGAGCACAAATAAATAATACAATCTGTATATAACAACACAAACTGTTTACATGTATATTTACACTTTTTGACATGAACATCCAGACAAATCCGGTTTCCAGGACGAGACAGCGCACATAGTGTAAGCGCAGGGTTCGTTTCGGTGGGGACAAATTCTATGGTTTGGCCAGAAACCGAACCCCGTCAAAAAAGCCAATATTCGGCCGAATCCGAAACCGAATCCTGGATTTGGTACATCCCTAGCTGTGACCAGCACATCCAACACTGGTTTTCGGCGCACAATAAGGAAAGCAAGGGTGTCAATTTTCTTCTTCCCTTTCTTTTATTGGAGGACCACAACCAACAGAGGGTGCCTACTTTGCTGGGTGGGCATTCGGATGTTTCCAACATTACTTAAAGTGTTATTTTCCTTAAAAACATAAAACAGTAGATTCTGACTGTTGATTGATGTAGCAATAGCATTGCATTACTAATTGCACTGTTGACATTCAAAGAGTACATGTTTAACAATTGGCCCTGTGTGGCCAATGCGCAGTCTCGTTAGGACAATTCCCTCTCTGCTATTCCCACGGACATTACATTTAGTTCTAATCTCTGCCATAATTTAACCACTTTCTAACTAATTTCTAAAAGCTTCCCTTCAGCTCTACTCACTGGGACATGCATGTGGTGAGAGATAAAGGACCCAAAAGGCAGGAATGTCAAAAAAAAAGATTTAATGATGATAATAGATAATAGTCCAAGGTAAAACAAATCAAAAATCCAAACCAAACTCAGGAACGTAGACAGACAAAGACAATACTGGTGATGGGTCCAACAACACTGATACACCAACACATGTGCCGAGTTTGTTTAGCGAAACCTTGTATCGGCGCGCGTGTCTCTTTAAGAAAAAGCCACGTGACCAATACAGACGCAGTGTCGCTTGTCACCGTCACGGCAAACTGTGTTTGAAGGTACCGCATCTCCAAGTGTCACCGGGATGAAGCGCTCTCAGAAAACCTTCAAAGAGGAAAAACGTCCCGTTCTCCAGCATCAAAATGGAGTCCACAACTAAACGAAAGTATTCTGTGTGGGATCATTGTGACTTAACAGCAAATAGGGTTGTTTGTATTTCATGTTTCACGCTTTATCTATAAATTGATATTCAATTCTCAATGTTTAGCCGTTTTAGGACGAAGCATGAGCATGATTTAAATACACCCAGCAATAACTAAATTAGTTTGTGCAGTTAACTAAAATTACATTTTAATGTTGCATTTCTTTTTCACAGCAAAGTACAGTGGTATTTACTCACAAATTAGAAATTTACTTTGGTGGGGGCGACAGTGGCTCAGTTGTTAGAGCATTAGCCTTTGGGCCTGAAGATCCTGGGCTTGAGCCCACCGTAAGACCTACTTCATGACTCCCACCGATGTCTGCTGTCGTTGTGTCTTTGGGCATGACACTTAACCCCACTTTGCCTGAAGCCCCTGCTGAATAAACAATGCCATGTCCACACGTAGCCGTGTATTTTTAAAACTGAATGTTTCCCCCCTCCGTTTTTATAATAATTTGCATCCACACACAACCGAACAGCTGCGTTTTCAATCACATTCTTAACATTCCAAATATGTGAGTCCTCTGAGCATATTTTTCTCAAGCGTCTTGCGTTTGAGAAGAGCTTTGATGCTGACCCCGGTACTTCTGTAGCGGCACTTTTACAGTCATAGAAGAAACTCAGGGTAAAGACATATGTATACAAGCACTGACCCCCGTCCTCAGCCCTGGTTTAATCCTGGTTTAGCTCCTGTTTTGGTTGTTTTCGAGCGTGACTCCCCGTGATCACTTTGCTGCTCTCTGGAGCGAGGATGTTCGCTGCTGCGAATCGCTCGCAGCAGCGAACCGTTTTTAGGGCAGTAAGATCCATGCTTCCTCTGTGATCAGAGGTTGCATGTTTTGTTTGTTGTTGTTTTGGGGGCATACTGTGACGTGCGAAAACGCAAAACTCCGGTCATCTCTGTCTACATGCAAATGCATAAATGGAGTTTTCAAAAATCTCCATTTTGCCCGGAGTTTTTTTTTATATATTCGTTTATGATGCGTTGTCATGTGGATGACAGGTGCAAATGAAGAAAAATACCCGGCTACATGTGGACGGGGCCCAATGCTCTCCACCTGCAGGTGGTGATGGACTCACCACCTGCAGGAGGATCAGTGAGGGGCTGGTGCTAAGTGTACTGACTGCCACCCCCCTGACCCAGAAATGGATTAAAGGGAAGAAAATGGATGGATGGATAGATATTTGGTGT